GGGGAAGTCTTTTGCATTTGTATTAAATAAATGAAGTCATCCATCATTAAAGTGGTTACTAAATACTATGGCCAGTGTTTCTATAAAGCAGAAAACACAGAATTTAGAAAACAGTTATAGAGACACAGAGAAGAACATGTAAAGATACAGGCAGAGATTGAAGTGATGCAGCCAAGAATCAAGAATGGTCAAGATCCACCAAAACCTGGACGAAGGAAAGAATGATCCTCTGTTGGAGGGAGTGAGACCTGGCCAGCACTGTTTTTCTGGACTCTGGATTTGAGAACTGAGGGAGAATAAATTTTTATTGTTTTAGCCACTTAATTTATAGTAATTTATTACAGTAGATCAAAGAAAGTAATACACCATATAAACAGTCTTTTCCTTAAAGTCCTTTTATTTGAATCACAAAAATAAATTCTGTATTCTTTTTTGTGCAGTAATTTCGCATTTTTTTCTTTTGAATATAAAATCAAAATACTTATCCTTTTAGTAAAAAACTGTGTCACCGTAATGTCATGTGGTATAAATACATTTAGCCAAAAATGAATATTACATATGTTTGTTAAAAGCTTTTTTTTAAGTTATTTTTTGAGAGCAAAAGAAAAGTGGAAGCAAAAAGGCACTCTGAGTGATATTATTAAGACACTGGAGAACATCTATACCGTACAATCCTTCAGGGCCTCTCAAGATAGTGTTTTAAATTTCATTCTCTGAAGGCATTACAAGCGTCTTGATATATGACAAAGAATGTATACATATGTATAAATTACAACTCCATTTTTATAAAACAAAAAATAGCAGTCCATAATTTCACATAAAATTTTGCATGTGCATGTCGGTAGTGGGTGCTCATTCATAGCACAATATTTGGGAGGGTGTGGATTAGACGAAAATACTGACTTCCTCACAGTGGTAGGATTTCACATAATTTCTAATTTATTTCTCGTATTTTTATTTATTGTTTGGTCTTATTACAAAATGAATGCAATATGTAAAACAAAAAATACTTTATAACATTATATTAGTCTCAGATGTACAACATGAATTGATGTTTCTACATATTGTGAAATGATCAACATGATAAGATTACTTAACATCCATCACCATACATATTTACAAAAATTTCTTTTCTTATGAGGTAGACTTTGAAGATCTACTCTCTTAAGTTTCATATATGCTATTCAGTATTATTAACTAGAGTCACCATGGTGTACATTGCATCCCTGTGACTTATGTAGTGAGTGTATAACTGTCGGCTTGTAAATTTTCCCCACCTTCACTCATTTTGCCCATCACCTACCCTCTGCCTCTGGCAATCATCAGTCTCTGTATTAGAAGAAAATATTGATTTCCTCACAGTGGCAGCATTTCAAATAATATCTGATTTATATATTACATTTTATATATGATTTTCACTTATTATAAAGAGAATGTGATATGTAAATCACAAGGCATAACCTTTTATTCAGAAAATGTAATACTACGTAGCAAAGAAAATTCTTACATTTCATCTTTGCTTATTGTTATTAAATATCTTAAAAAATAGATAGCATCTAGCAGAGAAAATTTCAAAATCAGCCAAATCATTTTTAATTGCTGATAGAAACACCAATTTTTATGAACAAAAAAAAAATCAGAATATATAATAGTTAGAGTCAGTGCTTTAAATGTAACTAAAATTAGAGATGTAACAAAAGATACAGAGATGGACAAATTTAAAACTGTAAACATAGACATAGTAAAAATTAATGACTGCCAGCGAGCACTGAATTATAAATGAAAGAATCCTCAAATCAAGGAAGCAAAAAGAAAATGTGGTACATATATACAAAGAAATATTATTCAGCCAAAAAAAAGGTGAAATTCTGACATTTTTGACGATACGAATAGATCTCTAGAATATCAAGGAAAGCAATATTTGTCAGATGGAAAAAGTTGAGAACCATATGATTTCACTCATTCATGGGATATAAAACTGAAAACAACAAATAAATGTGACAAAGCAACAAAACCTCATAGACACAGACAGCAGTTTAATAGTTACCAGAGGAAAAGAGGTGGAAGGTAGGTAGAAAAGGGTAAAGGGGGTCAAATATATGGTGACAGGACATTTGACTTGTGGTGATGAACACACAGTGCAATCAATAGACAGAAGATGTATTATAGAATTGCATGCTTGAAATCTACATAATTTTTATCCAATATCACCCTAAGAAATTTAATTAAAATGAATTAAAATCATGCAATACTTATTTTATATACTTTACCAAAAAGTTTATAGCCATAAATATAAAATCAGCCTTCTAATGTCATTTTCCCATCCTCACTTTCTGATAGAGAAACCTTGAGACTTGGTATACTATATCCCCTGTCCAGACACATTTTTTTCTTATGTAAATGTATGTAACTAAAAAATATAAATCATGGGAGGAAGAGACAACTTTAACAAATAAACAATCTAGAAGATGCATGAACTCTAGATAATTTCCAGGTTTACTGTCTTTGAGGTTAAGAAATGGTGTTTAACAATTGCAAATTTAGTATCCTCAGACTTCATATGTAGCTATAGACCAACTCGAAGACTGTGAATGTCTTAGTACAGCCTTTTCCGAAGGGGAATTGTTTCTGCTCTCCAAATGAGGAGAAGGTGGAGAGAAAGATGGAGAGGAGTAGCCAGGAGAATAGTCCTCTTCAGACTGTATCCCTCGGAGACTATCTTCAACGCAGTGCTAATTTAACCAGACACGGCCTTGGTTCATTTCTCAATTACCACTTGATAAATAGCTTGAGTTAAAGATGCAACACATTGTGGATAAAAGATGCTGTTTCAATAAATATGGGGCTATTTTTACCAAAGGTACACTGATTTTAAAGTGAAATATGAGCTGCAGGAAAAATAGAAATGGCAGTACTGGATACTTGAATAAGTTAAATTAGAGGTTTCTATTATATAGATCATAGTCTGTGTAAAAGGAGCAACACTCAGTGGTTTCTCCACAAAATAAACAGGTAAGCAGTAATGATTTTATGACACTTATTTTAAAATAGTGTGCTATTTTTCAACTTAATAATTGTCATCAAAGAAAATTCTTTCTTTCAATCAGATTAATTAAAGAGATAAATCATCTGAACTTAAAATATACAGACTTTATCCATAAGCAATGAGTCTTTCATTTTTATAACAGTGAAAGAAATATAAAATGGACAGAAAAACACTTTGATGTTGTGGTTTTATATTTCTTAACTTTATTGATACTATTCAGAATATTAAATTAAAAATAATATTTTCTATTGAATGTTGTATGAAGCCCATTGAATTCTGATGGAGAATATGGACGCTGGCTTTGCACTGCCAAGGTTGAAGTCAGTGAGGTTATACAACCTTCTTAAGGTTGGGCAAGTTATTTAACTTCTCTCTTCTTCCAGCTCTATGCAAAATGTGAATATTAATAGTGCATACTTCATTCAGAATGTAATAAAAGCAACAATGCAGGTAAAGTCATTAACAAGGTGGTTAATATATAATAAATGTTCAAAAATTGTTAAAAATAAAAAATAGTTTTAATTAATCAGGCCTCTTTACTCCCTATATTATGTTTGTTTAAGATAAACAGAAAAGATAGTAAAGGAACCGAAATTCCCATGTTACAAGAGAAAAATACCATTAACAGTTAATGGAGAGTATAAATCAATTTCAGGAAGAAAAATTAAATTTGCTTATCTCTGAGGAAGCTTTTGTATATAAAATAGAATTTATGTTAATTTTTTCTATTTAATTTTGCTTATATCTTTATAACAAAGCCTATTTTTCCTGTGTCCTCAAAGTACAGGAGACTGGAATATATAAGAGAAAAAAACTAAAAATAAAAGCCCAGTAAGTTAGAGTGTTTTTTCTCCAGGTATTGCTGCAGATTTTTATCTACACAGCACAGAATAGTTTACTAATTTTAAAGTCAGTATTCTTGACAAAACACTTCCATGGACATTGTCTTCTCTCCTAGACAGAAAAGGCTACTTCTAGGGCAAGATAAAAGATGAGCAAAGCTCAAAAAAAAAAAAGAAAAGATTTGTTAAAACAGTAATGATAAAAAACATAAGCATGATAATAAGTATGATAATGATCCTAATAACAATGCCTAATAGAACTGCAACTGCCTATTATACATCAAGCATTTAACTTACTTCTCAAAACAATTCTCTGAGGTACATATTATTATTAATGCATTATTTTCAAACAAGGAAAATTAAGCTCTGATGATTTAAATAAGGAAATATTTCCAGACTAGAACCAATTTCCATGAAAAGTCACTCAATGTCATGTTCTTGGGTCAGTGAGAAGTGAAATTAAGTTAAATTTTCCTGATGGAAATACTTATAAACCACTCATCTGTTTAAGCACTCAAGTAGCTATTTGTGTACAAAACTGAAATAAAATATGAGGGCATTTACTTTATCCTGAGAAACGTTTTATTTTGTTTACTTAAACATAAAAATAACAAAATAATTCAGTAATCTGACTGTAAGATCAGACAAAATCTCAGAGTAGATGTTGCTTCCTTAAGAGATTGTCTACTGCTCCCGTAACACCTGTGATTCTCTCTATGTCCATAACGCACACTCTAGGGTTATACCTGACTTATCTGTCTGAATTCACCATTAGCCTGTAAAGACAGAAACTGAGCTCATAGCGCTTACCATCAACATCTTAGCATTTAACATATTTTCTATGTAACACATACATAGTATTTATCCATAATAAACCGCAATCTCTACTACAAAATATATATCAATTGAATTCCTGATCCATTCATCAAATAGATCTGAAACACTGAAAATTCAGTTATCTTTTTGTTGCAGTTGTTTTTCACAAGGGATAACTTCTGAAGTGACAGGAAATCATGAGAGTTTTAAGACATAAAACAAGAAAATAACAAACTAAATGTGAAAAGAGGAGAAGAAAGAGATTGAAAGGCCAGAAAAACCAAAATAGAAATGGAAGGAGAAGATTCGGGAAGTGCCCTCAGTCTCAGGTTATACAACGTATTATTTGAATCCAAAATGTCCCAGGTCCTTGATCCCTCTACTTGACATTTTTGAACCACAGAAGAGGTGAGCTAAAAGGTAAATTTTATCTTTAGGATATGCTGTGAAAAATCAACATGAATGTCAGAATAGAGGATTCACTGAACAACGAAGGAAGGAGTATAGGAGAAAGAAATGCAAAGTAGAAATTGTAAATTATTTCACTCCTTTGTGATGTGTGAGAGGGAAGAGGAACTGGGGTCTTGACAGGAGAAAGGGAGGTTTCATTCTGTAGAAAGAAGAGATTAATTTGGAGTTAGGAATGGAGGAGAAACTTCAAAACTCAGGACAGTGTAGATTTTGAAGTATGCCAATCTGTGACAAAGTTCACTATTTAGTGTTAACAAAGGCTGGCTAGAAATCGCAAAAGTGAAGTGTAGGACCCAGTACAGTGAGTGAGAGACTGAACTTTATTTGACCTAAAATGCTTAATTATTTAAGGAGTTGATTAGGCTAAATCTACACTGCTTTTAGCACCCTGTTTTTTAATGGTAATTCAAATATAGATATTTTAAATGTGTATTAGACTTAATATATTATATTCATAATATGTTATATATTAATTAGATATTCTAATATATACATATTTATATGTAGACAAAAGTATACAAAGGTTGATTTTATATTTCTTCAGGTTTCAGATGTGAACTTTATGATCAAATTCTCTTACACATTTTTTTTTCCCTTAAATGCCTAAACTTACCTAATTTCTCCTAAAGTATGCCAAAAATTCAGCGTATAAGCAGAACTGTCAAGATTGTTGGGCACCATGAGGGATGAGGACATAGTAAAATGGAATCTTATATATTTTTTCATATTCTAAAATTCAAGTGAACATATGACTTGTCATGTTATGTGGTTACTAATATAAATTTCTATACTATATTAAATGAAAAGTGTTTTATGATGGAGCAAGGCTAGTCTTTATTTTCTGATTTTTGTCTAAGTCTTTCCCAGCAAGTAAGTTGGCCAGGGTTGGCCTGACCTGGGGTTGCAGTGGAGTCTGACTGATGATTTTGCCCTTCACTTACCTGAGATGAAGTTCACAGGGAAACATAAAACTTAACATGTAAACATCACATAAATGGATTGTAAAAAAATACAAAGAGAAAGCAAATAGAGACCAGAATGATCAGGAAGGAGGTACATTTCTAATTAGAGAATGTCACAAGTTCCCTAGAGCAGTTCTAATCCTGAGACCAGGCCACCCAGCATGCTTCCCTCTTATTTTATTGCTCTCGGTTTGACTGTGTTCTTCATTTATCTATATCGTTATTGTTAACAGGAAGAAGACAGTTAAGATTTTCTTTTGTTTCTACATATTGCAATTTTGGGCTTCTGAATTTGAAATATATTCCAAAATGAAAAACCAACAGAAACACTGGATATCTATCCTGGATCACTGAATTTGAAACCATGTATTTAATGTGTCCCTCTCTGCAACTGGGCTCAGTGCACTGAAGTGACCTTCAAGCCTCGGAATCATTTTGTTCCTATATGGAATGCACAGGACAAAAAGCCCACCAGGGAAACTGCACTGCATCGATGGGTTTCATCCTGCTTGGTTTTTCTGATGTTCCCGACCTCCAAGGATTTCTTTTTGGGATGTTTCTGATAGTCTATGTGATTATTCTGATGGGAAATAGCTTCATAATTATAATAACTAAGGTGGATTTTTCCCTTCAGACCCCCATGTATTTTTTCCTTAGGAACTTTTCTTCCTCGGAAATATGCTATGTGTCAGTCACTGTTCCAAGATTGTTAATAGATCTTTGCAGACAAAACAGAAAAATTTCCTTTCTGGCCTGTGCAACTCAAATGTATTTCTTTCTGGTCTTGGGAGCCACAGACTGCTTTATTTTAACTGTTATGGCTTATGACAGGTATGTGGCCATTTGCAACCCATTGCTCTACCCTCTCATCATGAACAACAGGCTGTGTGTTCAATTGGTAGCTGGCTGTTGGATGACTGGAATTTCAGTACATGTAGGCTTCACCTATCAGATCTTCTCTCTGCCTTTCTGTAGATCTCACCAGTTAAATCACTTTTTCTGTGATGTACCTCCAGTACTTAAGCTTGTCTGTGGGGACACCTTTATGACGGAGATGTTGATTGATGTGGTTACTGTTGTAGTTGTTGCAATTCTTTTTATGTTAATTCTTGGATCTTATGTGAAAATAATCTTGACCATCCTGAAGCTGCCATCAGCAATTGGGCGAGCCAAGGCGTTCTCCACTTGTTCTTCCCATCTCATGGTTGTGGCTTTATTCTTTGGATCTGGTGTCATTGCATATTTGAGACCAAAGTCTGGTCATTCCACAGTAATGGACAAATTTCTTTCTCTGTTTTACACCACTTTGACACCAGTGTTTAACCCCATAATATATTGTCTGAGAAACAAAGAAGTTATGGCTGCACTGAGAAAAATCCTACTGAAATGGATTGTTTGGGACTCTAAGACATAACTCACTAAAATTTGTTTCTTGTTTATCACAGTTTCCCTAAATTAATTTTGGTCTTTCTCCACTATAGGTAAGAATCATTTACTCTTCATAGGAAGTTTCATATTTTTATCTCACATAAAATTAATTCTGCTCTTATTTTTAATTAACTAATTCAAAACTCAATAAATAAATTTATGAATAATCAATTCCAAACTCAATAAATTAATTCCAGACTCAATTCAATGTATTGAAATACTTGAAATAACATATTGGCATCATTAAAGGTTGATGACATCAAGATCATAAAATTATCCAATTTTAACAAATGTATTTTCATATATTTATCTAAGAAAAGAGATTATCGAACCTATCATAGATAAGATGTTCCTAAATTCTGTGTGAAGGTACTGATAAAAATATTGGGGAGGGGGATTATTGTTTAATGTTTTTTAAGCAAAGTCACCTCTAGAGCTGCTTTCTCCCCACAAGATCAGACAGTCTATCAGAATGGAATACTGAAACTGTGAAATATTGTGCTGTAGTGGGAAAGATAGTGTGTATTGCCGTAAATAGTGTTAGTATCTAAATTCTATGTTCCGTCAACATATGAACATCTTATTTCTTCTTAAAATATATAACCTTAAACTTCTCTATTCAACATTACATATTGGAAATCTAGTTTGAGGAGAAGAAAGAAATAAGAATAGAGATAAAGGGACATGAAATCCTGTGTGGTTTAGGGGATTCCCCTAGTCATGTTAACACAATGAAAGATGGACTTCTTAAGTTCAGCCTGATTTCTTGGGTGTCGAGAGCAGGTATGGCATGTATGGGCCCAAAATAAAAATGAACACAGAGCTGCATATCAATAAGTAGTTTTTATAAACATAAAATATTAACTTATTTGCAGTTTGAGCTCTGCTGACTCCACAGAATGATGGGAAAGACCAGTCATTATTTACTGCATTTGAATTAAGAAAGAATTCTCACAGTGGAACGTGTGAGGGCAGGGCAGGATGTTGTGGTTATTTTCCTTTAGAACACCTCTCCTGAAGGCAATATTTGAAACAGGTTTCTAGAGTACATAAGATGTCACATAATTAACTTAAGTAGACTATTTATTTTTAAAATGTATAAGCTATTTTTAAAGCAAGCATGATAAGGTCAATAGATAAAGTAAAAAGGAACTGTAAAAAATCTAATCCAAAATAGTGTAGAAAAGAGAAAAGAGAATCGACATAAGAGGAGACAAAGAAAAGCAAAGATTTTTCAAAAATGGCATGGCTAGTTGCCAATACACATGCATGCATTGAATGTTAATTTTATTAACATTACAATTAAAAAGCAAAAACTAGATTACAAAGCCAGACTACAATCTGTACTCTCTACATGAAACAAATTTTAAAGCTAAAATATATAGATAATGTAAAAATTGACGGATAGAGAAACTTTACCATGACAACAGTAAGCACAAAAAACTTGAGTAGCTACTGTATCACTAAGGATAGACAGGTGTATTTCATTTACATGACAGTGTTAATTTATTAGGAAAACGTAAACATCATCTATTTCCATGTACCTAAAATAAGAATCTCAAAATACGGGAACTAACACTTAAAACAATTACTTGACAGTTCCACAATCATAGTAAGAAATCTTCTCTTCGATGTTTCATTCACCTGTAGAACATCAAAAATAAAACAGTAAGGGAATAGGTAATCTGGACAATATTACTCACAATAATGCATGACATGCACCCTTTCAAGAGCTACTGGTGGGTTTACAAACAGCCAATATGGTGACTCATAGAACAGGGTTTGTAAGTTTTAAAGTTTTATAATTACATAAAATACCTTTTCTGAATACGATAGAATCATGAAAAGCAATGAAAAAGAAGATATTTAAGAAGAGCTCAAATATTTATAAATTGACCAATTTCTATACACACGTGTTGAGAAAATCCAAATGAGGTAAGAAAAAATAAATTACAATTGCAAGGGACAAAAAGTACCCCTCTTGGTAAGCATTATGTCTATTTGACTAGATTATTTTAAGGTATCCACAAAACAACCACTGAAATAATTACATGAGTTCAGCAAGGATATGTCATTAAATGTTAACTGATGTTAACTGTTGATATATTCATGGAGATCAACTGCGATGGGAAATGTAAAAAGCAATTTAATATACTTAGTAAAATATGAAATATTTAGAAAAATTGGACAAAATGAGAATTATGCTATGAAACTATTAAATCCTGGGAGATTTTGAGATAAATAAGTGGAAAATAACCATTTTCATGGACTGAAATACTCAATATTGTCAAATTGTCCATTCTATACAAAAATCTGTATACATTTAATAGAGTGTCTATGAAAAAATCTGGCAGACATTTTCTAGAAATTGATAGACCTCTTCTAAATTTTGTAAAAAATGCAAAGAACACATTGGAGCCAAAACATTTTTATACAAGACCAAAAAATGTAGAGGAAGTGCACTACTTGACTTCAAAACTTACTATAAATTTTCTACACTAAAATCAGTGGGGAATTGAAAAAGAAATAAATTGATAGTAAAATGGAACAGAATACAGAGTCTAGAAAAAGATGCATACATATATCCTAAGCTGAGTTTGACAAAGATGCTGGGACAATCCATGGGGAATGGAAAGCCTTTCCACAAATAGTACAAGAGCAATTAAATATCTACATGGGCAAAAAATAAATATCGAAACTTACTTCACACCATATTTAAAAATCAATTCAAAATTACTCACAGATTTTAATGTAAAAACTAACCTAAAAATGTCCTAGTAGAAATAAGAGAAAATCCTTGTGATGAATGATAAAGATTGCTTAAAAAGATACAAAAATGTAATTCATTAAAACATATTTTATTATACCAAAATTAACATCCTTTTTCTTTCAAAGGATGACATTAAAAGATTAAAAAGAAAATCAGATTATTAGGTTTTGAGAAACATGGCAGAGTGAGAGATGTCTCTAGATCTCTTATTGTCGTTTTGTCCCTTGAAACAACAATAAGCTGAACATCTAAAATTCAACAAAATACTCCCAAACTGCACAGCAGCACATCTGAGCCTGGGATCTGTGCATAAGAGCTACCACAGGTCAGAACTCCGTGTGTTGGGCGGTGGACTGGGAGTAATAAAGAAGTTGCCTCCTGCAGCTGCCTGAGCCCCTTGTAGGAAGAGGGAAGGGGAGAAGTTGCTGTAATTTCCTTGAACAGCCCTGCCTGGGTGTGCTGTGAGCTCCACACAGCCGGTGGCAGGGCTCAGTCATCGGGGCAGAAGGCAAGGAAACGGGGACGGCAGAAAAACAACACAATTTTTATCAGCCACGGTTGCAACACTGAGGTTGAACCGCAGCCCCCAACCTCAACCCTGAGGGCCTCTTCCCCGATATCTTCTGAGACTGAACACCATATCTGAGCAAATATTACCGAAACTATCACTAACACTGTCAGGGACTGAGACTGAGAGTAGTGAGTGCGATTAAACATCAATAAGAAAAAAAAAAATAAAAGCATTATAAAGACTGTATGTAAAGCAGGGATCCAAAATACTTAGATGCCACCTACTGGAAACCAAAAGAAAAGTGCCTGCTTTGCAACAGGCTAAAGAGAGAACTTTATATCATAAATCTATCTGGAAAAAAAAAAGCAGAACACACTTCCATTAATGCCCAGGCAAAGAAATGGGCCATTAAACATCAGATACAACCAAGGTGACAAGGCATATCAGAAAGAAAGAGAAAAATCTCCAGAAAATAAGCATATAGACATAGAAATATGCAACTTAAATGACAGAGAATTCAGGATGGTACTTCTGAAAAAACTCAGTGAGTTCTGAAACGAGTTATACCAACAATCACAGGAACAGAAAAAAATAACTGGATGAGCAGAATGAGTTCTTTAGAAAGGAGATTAAAATCATTGAAAGAAATAGAATAGATATTCTGGAGATAAAAACCACACTAGAAGAGTTGAAAAATGAAATAGCAAGCATGGGAGGTAGAGTCGATCAAATAAAGGAAAGAATCAGAGATATCGAAGACAGAAAGCTAGAAATAATTCAAAAGGAAGAAGGGAGAATCCAAAGAATGAAAAATAATGAAAGAGAAATATGAGAAACATCTGCTACCATCAGGAGAGAAAACATAAGAATAATGGACATTATCGAAGGTAAGGAAATGGAGTAGGGACTAGACAACACTTTCAGGCAAATAGTGGATGAGAATTTCCAAAATCAAAGGAATGAGCTGGAGCTTGGAATTCAAGAAGTCAATAGAACACGGAATTATCTCAATCCAAAAAGGCCATCACTAAGACACACTGTATTAAAATTATCAAAAATCAATGACAAAGAGAATTCTTAGGGCAGCCAGGGAGAAAAAGCAGTAACTTATAAAGGAACATCCATTATATTATCCTCAGTCTTCTTAGTGCAAACCTTACAAGTCAAAAAAGAATAGAATCAAATATTTAAACTATTAAGTGAAAGGAACTACCAGCCTAGAATAATTTAGCCAGCTAAACTCTCCTTTAGATATGAGGAGAAATTAACACCATTCCAGAAATACAAAAATTGAGGGAATTATCCAATACGAGGCCTGCACTACAGGAAATACTGAAAGGGTCAGCTCATATAAAACTAAATGAAAAAAAAAAATCATAATTAGGAGTAAAGTGACTATCAGGCAAATTGAAGCAGAAGAGTATAACCCTTAATAAGAATAGGGAATTATAAGCTTAAATAATAATAAGAAGAGAATTGCTACAACAAGATAGTAATGAACGTTCATAATTAACATTTACAGTGCCACCATCCCAAAAGAGCTGCTTATACATTCTTCTCTAGTGCATATGGAACATTCTCAAGAATCGATCACATACTGGGACACAAATTGCCACACCAAATATAATAGGCTTGAAATCATATTATCCCTATTTTCTGATCATAATAATTTGAAACTAGAGATCAACTGCAGAAAGATCAGGAA